ATATGAAGCTTGATCCAACTCAATTAAGGCAAGGAACTCTTATCATTTATTTTCTTTCTTAAGAAAGTGATAATATGGAAAAGGTAGTCAGGCGAGTCAAGCCTATTCTGAAGTCTAAGACTACAAGGCAAAGGGGCTGAAGGAGAAGCTTTTTTGATGTGTACCATTTACTAAGGGAAGGTTCCTTAAAATCTTAAGGATGGTTGCAGGGTTAATGGGTCCTACTTCACTACATGTTGTGGGCCAATGATGAATGAGTAGGCGAGGGATGGGTTCTTCCATTGTGGAATATTCACTTGATGTTATAACTTATGAGTTGCAACTTAACTCCCCCGTGGTTGAGACAATGAAGAGCTATTTGGGTGGACTAGTAAGCTTTTCAGTGAACCATCAGAAGTTTTTGGTTGTTTCTGAATTTCAGTGTGTTAAGTAGGAAGCTATTTATAAAAGCCAATATATATGTGGCCAGATTGCCCTGACCCGGTCGGGAGAATTGACTATGGCATAATGACCCCAGCAAACATAGATTGCTATTTTTCTGTTATAACTCCCATCTGTTGGTCAGAAATGTATTTTAAATTATATCCCCAAAGATAATAATCAAACTAAAATGATTCATGATTATAGTCAAACTTATATAATTAACTATTTTGTTTGGTATGATGCATGTTGTTCAAATGGTATATAATTGTCGTTTAGCATTACACGATTATATGTGCTGCAAGGTATGGCTTATGATTTGACACTCCAAGGAAGTGCTGATGACAAATGCTCCTAGGAGTAGTTTATGGACTGTGTAGCCTTGTATGTCTTGCCTCATGCTTGAATTTCTATGCACATGCCTGATGTTGCTCATGCACCTATCCTGTCTGACTCATACTTGTTAATGAAAAAATTTGCTGTAAACCAATGGTGGAGTATGTTCCACAATAATCCCAAGGTGCATCCACCCTCTGTTCCTGATGACTGTCAAGAAGATTTCCTGCACCTTGATGAATTTCCTGGTGGACCTTCTCTTCTTAATCTCCATCCATCTCCATCCATTGTCAGGAATTGACCGTAGATGCCCATTGAAGACCATATGCCATACTGCTGGGTTTTTCTATATTATCTCTTTTCTATTTTTGACTGAACTCTCTGGAATGTTTAATTTGATGTGTGTATAGGCGCTACAAGTGGTGCCATGGATGCGGGCAATTTACTGAAGCCAATGCTTGGTCGAGGAGAGCTTCGTTGTATTGGGGCCACAACTTTAGACGAATATAGGAAGTATATTGAGAAGGATGCCGCTCTGGAGCGTAGATTTCAGCAGGTGTACTGTGGCCAACCATCGGTTGAAGACACAATTTCTATTGTTCGTGGGCTTCGTGAACGCTATGAGTTACATCATGGAGTTCGGATTTCAGACAGTGCCCTGGTTGCTGCTGCAGTTCTTGCTGATAGATACATCACAGAGAGATTTCTCCCAGACAAAGGTGAGTAACTAACCTAATGTTCCCCATTTTCATCCTCTTGTTTTTCAAAGGTACACTTAATTGAAAATGCACAAAAGTAATTTTTATTGCAAATTTCACAGATGACAGTACACGTTTGCAAATGTTAGGGATCTTTATTATTTATAGGTACACACCAAATTGCAAAATTTTGGTTCTTTCTACAGTTTGTCTGGGCTGGGGACAGATATATCTTGTTTCAAATTGTTTTATGGCTGAAATCTTTTCTTAGTTCTCTCAATATTTAGCAAGATGGGAAAAATGTCAACTTTGAACTAAGCAGCATCGTGTATAAATTTTAAAATTCTTTCTGAAATTCTCTTTTTCCTGACGTCTTTTTTTCTGTTCTTTTTTTCAATATTATACAAATGCAATCACCCAAAGTCCTGGGTGTTTATTTCCATTGTAACTAGCAAACCCTAGACTACTAGTCTTGGCTTTGTAGTGGAAGGTTTTATTTACGGTGATGAAGTAGCCCGAAATTGTTGCCAATATTTTTACCTATGCTGACTAGTGTTGGTTGTTGACGCCATATGACATAAGGTTTACACCTGAACCTGTTGCAGCTATTGATCTCGTTGATGAGGCAGCTGCTAAATTAAAGATGGAAATCACATCCAAGCCAATCGAGTTAGATGAGGTAGACAGAGCGGTGCTAAAGTTAGAGATGGAGAAATTGTCCCTGAAAAATGACACTGACAAAGCATCCAAAGTTCGGCTAATGAAGCTAGAAGCAGACCTCGAAGCTCTCAAACAAAAGCAAAAGGAGTTGACTGAGCAGTGGGAATATGAGAAGGGTCTCATGACTCAAATTCGATCAATCAAAGAGGAGGTCGGTTGCTTTATAACCTGGAATCATAACCATATTAGGCTTCCAATCAGCCAGTTTGGAAGTTGAAGGCTAATTTAGGAATCACATATTCATTGATTCTTAGAGGAATACTGAAATTACGAGTTGCTCTTTTTATCAACTCAAATATACTTTGAATGGCATCAGTTTGATTTTTTTTGTTTTTTTGTTTTTTGTTTTTGTGCCTAACTGCTTAGACAAGAATACAAATCAAAATTTTGAGAAATTTTGTTGTTTCTTTCAATAATTTTGAATTTTTGGTTTCCTGGGGAAATTCTTAGGAAGTTTTGAAGGGAAAAAAAAAGTTCACTTAAAAAGAGAACATTGGAAAAATTAGAACAACTCAATATTCCATATTTTTTATATGAAGTTTCTTTTTAACTTTCATCCTTGCATCTCTCTCAAACTTGAGTCTACACTTTTGAGAATATTTTCTACGAAAAAGTATGGAGGATTACAAAAAGGGACAAAGCTTCAACAAACCATTTAAATTATTTTCTACTCTTCCACCTATTTGTCATTAATATTTTTTTAAGTGGTTTATTTTCATCTATGGGAAGAGAAAAGGAGGGGCCTAATTCCTGTCATTATATTTTATAGCTTGATAGAGTCAATTTAGAGATGGAGGCAGCTGAGCGCGAATACAATCTAAACCGAGCAGCCGAGCTGAAATACGGGACCCTCATGACCCTTCAAAGGCAGCTTGAAGAGGCTGAACGCGAACTCTCTGAGTTCCGAAAATCTGGAAAATCAATGCTTAGGGAGGAGGTCACTGATCTTGACATCGCTGAAATAGTGAGCAAATGGACAGGAATACCCCTCTCCAACCTCCAACAATCCGAGAGGGACAAACTTATCCATTTGGAAGATGTCCTCCACGAGAGGGTCGTGGGCCAAGAGATTGCTGTTAAATCGGTGGCTAATGCAATTCGACGATCGAGAGCGGGCCTCTCTGACCCCAACCGACCAATCTCGAGCTTCTTGTTCATGGGGCCCACAGGAGTTGGAAAAACCGAGTTAGCAAAAGCCTTAGCAGCTTACCTTTTTAACACTGAAAATGCCCTTGTGAGAATAGATATGACCGAGTATATGGAGAAGCATTCAGTTTCAAGGTTAGTGGGGGCTCCACCTGGTTATGTTGGGTTTGAAGAGGGAGGGCAATTAACTGAAGCTGTTCGAAGAAGGCCTTATTCTGTTGTTCTCTTTGATGAGATAGAAAAGGCTCATCATGATGTGTTTAACATTTTGTTACAAGTTTTGGATGATGGGAGAATTACTGATGCTCAGGGGAGAACAGTGAGCTTTACAAACTGTGTGGTTATAATGACTTCAAATATTGGGTCTCATTTCATATTGGAGACATTGAGGAATACGCATGATACAAAGGAGATAGTGTATGAGTTGATGAAGAAGCAGGTCGTAGAGTTGGCTAGACAGACGTTCATGCCAGAGTTCATGAACAGGATAGATGAGTATATTGTGTTCCAGCCGTTGGATTCCAAGGAGATCAACCGGATCGTTGAGATACAGGTAACTCTCTCTCTCTCCCTCTCTCTCTCACACACACATGCATGCACGCTAACATGGACATTCACTGTATTAGTGGGGGCATCATATTAATGCTTCTCTCATCAAACATCAGGGGGTTGTGCTTGAGTGCCTCTCCCTCTCTCTCTCTCTCACACATGCACGTGCGTACATACATGCATGCACGTGTGTTCACCCACGAGCACACATGCACTGCATTATTGGGACATGATAGGAAGGCTTCTCTATCTCATCAAACGTCAGAGGTTGTGCATGAGTGCAATGTATTAGTGGGGGCATGAATGCCTCTCTCTAAGTAGCAGGTTATGCGTGTGAGTGTGTATCTATCTCTCTTTCATTTTGACACGAATTGGGTCTGTCATGCAGCTTAACCGACTGAAGCACCGGCTTAACCAGAAGAAGATTGATCTTCAGTTCACAAGAGAAGCTGTTGAACTGCTCGGGAAATTAGGGTTTGACCCCAACTATGGGGCGAGACCAGTGAAGCGAGTGATACAACAAATGGTTGAGAATGAGATTGCTCTCACACTTCTGAGAGGGGATTTCAAGGAAGAGGACATTGTAATGGTTGATGCTCGTGATGGCCGCCTGCTTATCAAGAAAGCAGAGGACGTTGCCTTTAAGGAGCCATTGGTTGCAAATTACTGATTCCTCTCTCTACTTTGAGATTTGGTTTTTGGATTTACATGAAGGAGCCATTGGTTGCATATGACTGATTCCTCTCTCTAGTTTGAGATTTGGTTTCTGGATTTCCGCATGTAAATTTTTGTATGCACAAGTTAAAAGGGAAAGTAGAGTTTTGACGACTTGTTTTTAATATTTTTTAAGTGAGTCAGTAGGGAGAGGACATTTACCTTTGGTAAGAATTGAGCTTAGGACGTAGCCTTGCAAGTCGTTAAAGAATTGAGCCTAAGACGTAGCCTTGCAAGTCGTTAAACGCTAACGAATTAGTTAGTGGAGATTTGGGCCCCAACCATTTGTTTAGAATGGAGTCTAATACCATTGAACAATGGATTGATGTGAAATGTGTGTAAATGCCTCTCTCTCTATATCCATTGTTGTGAAATGTGTATAAAGGCCTCTCGCTCTCTCTCTTTCCTTGCATGTGCTTGAATGCTCATCTCTTTATGGGCAGGTGGGGATTTGAACCCTGTGATGCAGCCGTTACACCCTAACCACCGTCCAAGAACCCAAAAATCTATGCCTGTCTTCCTCTAAAATCGATGGTCTCTCTCTCTAAAACCGATGCCCCTCTCGCTCTTTCTAAGGCTGCTGCTAAGAATTTCCGGGCTTTATTATTATTATCATGTGAACACAAAAGGTTGACCACTGCCTAAAGTTGCAGGACTGGTCGTCTTATGTCGTTGCAGATTTGCCGTTTGTGCAAGTCAATGCGTATCCACATCGGCGCATCTTTCGAGTGCCTTTCTAAAAGGTGTAGGGTCCAAGATAATTTTTATCTTCTATTACCATTTTTATTTTTCTAAAAGAAAGAGAGAGAAACACTATGCGGCCCCTCTCTCTCTTTTGATGCTCCCTAGAGTAATGCACATTGATCTAACCTCAACGTAGGGTAGAAATTATCTTTCTTTATAATAACAAAAAGTTATGAAACTTGTGATGTTTAGATTCTCTAAAACATGTTTTGATTTGAGTGTTTTCTTTGTAGTAGCAGTAAAATTTAAACTTACCTCTGTCCTGGCCATGTGATGCCCCTATGGCATTTCTGGGATGACTAATCCTTACCACCCTTCAGGAAACACATAAGCATATATAAATATATTACTCTCTTTTGGGCAAGTAACCTAAAATTCAAGTGACAAAAGGGGTAGAACCTTTATTCAGTACAACTTTTAGGACCGGAGTTTTTGGGCATGTAACTTAAACCTTGTGACCAATCTAAATAATAATAATAATCATACTAAGTGTGCTTGAAAAAGAATAAACACTTAAGAAATCGGAGACCATTCGTACTTTGAAAAAATAGATCAAAGTGTTTTGGAACTAAAAATCCAAACTCGTTCTAAAAGTATTTTAGTGATTCCAAAATAGATCCCAAAATTTTACGAATACATCTACCCAAACATCTTTTTTGTCCAAGGAAGCAAGTATACAACGTGATATGGCAAGAGCACACTATATGCCCTCAATCATAAATCTTATATGCCTTGAGAGCAGCTCAACGCCCCCAACTCATTTCTTGCTTCCCTTGTTTTTGAGGTTCTCTTCATAAGCGCTCTTTACCCTTATTTTTTTTTTTTTTCCTTTGTTTTTCAAGATCGGGTAATATAAATTTTGGTACAAGAAGAACAATATTGGTATTATCATCTATATGAGAACGAGACCGCCTCCCAAATTAGTTTGGTGTATGGTTTAATCCAGTCAAAATTGATTTGACCACTGGTTGAACAATTACACCATATTTTAAAAAAATAAAAAATATAAAAATAATCTAAAAATATGAAATCATATTTTTAAAAAAGTTGTTAAATCTTGTTTTTGATTTGTCTAATAGAGCTCAAAATAAGTTGGTCGAAGAGGCCAGATTTGATCAAACATTCATTTTAACCATTTTGTGGCCACACCCAGGTTTGAGTTTTGGACCAGATTAATAATGACACCAGTTGGCAATCCAACCAGTTAGACTAGTTTGATTTTAATAACAGGTCACAATCAGCCCTAACCATTAGGTAGCTAAGAGCATCTCACCAAATTCAAAACCAAAATTACAAACCTCCCACATGATCAATGGCATATCCCTAACCACCTAATTGCATGTGCCACTAAAAGACCATTGATATTCCGTATGAACAATCTCATTGCATGCTTTCTCTATTCTCCAGATTTCTCTGTTATTGTTAATGTCATTTAAGCTATTGGATGCGTGAATGATTGCACCGAAAAATCATTCATGTCCTATTAAAAGTGGGCACCAAAAAGCACAAATTACTTCGAATCCACAACATCCTTGCCCAGACATGATTTCTTCCATCTCTCTCACTAATCGTCCTGCCATCACTATTTACGTGAAAAAAAGAGAGAGAGAACTTGAATTTTGTATTTTGCAAGGTATCCGGCACAATGCATGTAGCATTTATTGGTTATAGGGATGGGAGTAAGATTTTTTAGGGTGAAGAAAGGCATGGTGCATTAATGAGTTTTTGCAGTCCCTATGCACAGTCCAGGTACTTGGGCTCTTTGCAATTCTCTCTCTAACTCTCACCTCCCATTTAAAACTCCAAGAATCAAGACTTCAGATGGAGATACCAAATCCTCTTCCATAATTATACTTGTGGCTCCACCCACCTCGCAATATTGCCCTCTGTACAAGGTTTTGTATGGCTCTAGAGAGAGAAAGAGTTACAGAGAGCGAGAGAATATAATCGTCAAGAACTTGGCACCTGCCATTTATGGAGAGAGGAGAATGATATCCCAGCCATATGGGGGGTTTAATGATCCAACTTTTTGGAAGATAAGGAGCATTTTGAGTGGTTGGATTTTGTTTTTGGTATTTTAAGAGACGTTGGGGCTCACACCACCACTATGTTATGTTGGTGTCATTATTAATAATGGCATTTGCTAGAGAGAGATAGGCCATATTTATGTCACGGATAGCATATTATAAAGAGAGACTATATTTTTGTTAGAAATGCATAGAGGTTATTTATTTTTTATACAAAGACGTCACAACCATCATTTTTTATCTAGATTTGAAATCGGGTGGAAGATGTGTCGTTGTTTGGACACAATGTCTAAAATAAAATTCTTCAAATGTTGTGATTCACTTTTATCTATTACATTTCATATTCGATAACCCAAAGTAATTGTAACTTATTTGTATTGAAAATCAATGGTCCCATTTTGTACAATCCCAAATTTGTCATTCGAAAAATACTTCTATATTATAATTGGTGTCATTGTTTATAAACATTTCACCTAGGGGTAGAGAAGAGCATCGGCCAATCTAGAGGTTTTACAAGGAAAATGACCTTGATAAAGCTTGGATTATTGTTTAAACTTGGCAAAGGATTATATGCTCCTAGGAAGCATGTCTATTCACTCGCTTGAAAACCTAATCTGAGCTATTTTTAAGATCCCAATTCAAATCGTGATTGTGATTGTCATCGGACTAGCCTCTAAATCGTTGAGACGTCTGATCCAATTAAAACTTATTCAATAACTAATTTAACATGTTGGAGTAGATTTTAAAAAGTAAAAAAATAAAAAAAATAGTTTAAAATATTTCTAAAGTTTGCTCAACTTATCCAACCAGGCAAAATCAAACTCACCAAATACTAGTTTTGTATGTTTTTCAACCAATCAAGGTTTTTGCTTTAGATACAATGTGACCGATCAAACTGGGTGATCCAGTCCGGTTTTAATAATTATGGTTATGACTTGTAGAGAAAGACGGATGTCATAATACTACAACATTCTGCTTCTCAATTAGTGCAACAATGTCACACTAGCCCAAGACTCATAACCAAAGAGACGAAAAAGAACAATTAACATGAGGTGGAAGAAAACCTTTCATTCAAAGATGAAAAATATGGTACACAAAGGCATTACAATATGTACACCCAATATTAACCTTAATACATGTAATCCATTTTTTTCACCACACGTCTCTCTTGAAATAGAGGTTTTTTACGACCATATTTCCTATAAAAACTACCCACTTTCAAGAACTACTAACCACCTAGTAGTTTCATGACTTTTTGCTACACAAACTTACAAATACAACCTAACTACATCACTCAAAATAAAATAACATAAAACTAATATGATTTTTAGAAAATACACTTTAGCAATTTTAACATGGCTTCCTCAACGGTCAATATCCAATAGATAAATAACTAAATTAATACACCTATATATGTGTCCCCAAAAAATGGGTCCAGATATTCACCCAAATCATCCAATTTTTCAGATGGTAAGATCTTAATATCAAGAATAGCTTCAACGCTTGTGGTCAGAGCAGCGGGTCCCCACAATATGACACATTGGGTTCCATTCCTACTATACATAGCGGGCCCTTTTTCACTAAACTACCAAAAAAAAAAAACCTCAAAATTCAATTACTTTTATTATTAAAACACTCATTTAGCAAATGCATTTGTTAGCACAAGTTCTTATTGTTTATTTTGAGAGAGAGAGAGAGAGAGAGAGAGAGAGAGAGAGAGAGCATCATGGCTGGGTAGATTATTAAGAATGTAGGGGAGCATTATCAAATTCCAAGGGCAAACACATAGCATTTGCTGTTTTCTTCAAAATGATTCCACCTTCATTCTCCTACGATCTATGAAGAGTATTGTATTTATTAAATCCCATGAAGAGCACTGTACTTATTATTAAATCCCACTAAGAGTAACAGACTTATTAAGTGGATTATAATTTTTTATTTTTGGGTAAGTAAGAGAATTATACTTATTATATATACAATCACTAATTTAAATTTGGAAAACAATTCATTGGAGCATACGCATCTAGAATCACAATTCAAGAAGAAAACCTTTTCTATGAGAAATCAAATAAGAAATTCTCTACCAGTTCGTATAAATTCTTTCACAATAGCTACGCAAGCCACGACGCCTTAGCTCTTTTTTTTTTGTTGTTTCTTCTTCTTTTCTTGTTTTTCTTTGCGGCACCTTTCATTATCTTAATAGCACGTAATGTTTAAAAAAAAAAGGAAAGAAAATTCTTTCACAATAGGAAATTTATATCCCCAAGTAAATAGAAAAAACCCAAATTATGACATGAGTATATCACAATAGCTTTCATGTAAGGGAAAATTTCATATAGAACCTTAATTCCTCATGTTATTTCATGGTAGACCCTCAATTCGTTTTTGTTTCAAGCGGCATAAAAAAACCTTTAAAAATTTCACCGCACCCCCTCATCTCTTATCTCCATCTTTTATTAACTTTTGAACATAAAAATTCGCTCCAACAAAATTTTTTTATACCATTTCAACCTAAAAACGTTTTTAACCCTATTTTCCCCTTTCCACCCATTAAAAACGTTT